AAAGTAAATAAAATAAAATAAAACAAAATTTAAGTTTTAAAAAAGAAATTGAGTAGTTCTAAAATTCAAAGTTGCTTCCCCTACTTTTATGTTGAAGTATATTGTTGTATAAATAAAATAAAAGAAAGACGATAGAAATACAGCTTTTTTTCTTGAACATTTATTCAAGTGAACTATTAAACAGTCTTTTAATTGGTCATATTTTTTGTTTATCTGTCAACAGTTGTCTTGAAAAGTTTTTGGCTAACAATTGCCCGTGTTGCATATTTTACTTGGAAAGAATGCTGATGTCTGCCAATTTGCATCTGCAACTTGACAAATTAGCAGTTCCATAATTTTATATACACGATAAACGATTCTGTTTGATGCACAACAAAACTTTGTTGCTATTTCCTAATTTGTTTGCTTTATAAATTTCAGGAAAACGAAAGTTTAAAAAATCAAAACTTAAGACCATTTTTTGTAGAATTTTGTCAACCAAAAAATGTCTACTCTTTAACTTTGATAAAAGTTCTAATCATTTACGTCATCATAAAAATGCATATATCTATGTCAGTTAACAGAACTTATTAGCTTATTGAGAAATCCTAGAAGTGAGAACTGACAATTTTAAGCAGCAGTAACAAATTACTTAATCTTTTTTATCAAATCTGAATATGTTTTAGGTAAACAGTTACTTCAAATACAGCTGCTGTCTTTCAAAGTCTTTGTCTTGGTTTTGCTGATAAAAAAATGCAAAAAAATTGTGTTGTTGCAGAAGAAAACTCAAGGGTTTCTCATAAAAATGACAACTGTATTTAAGTGTCATCACTTTCGGACAGGCATTTCTGTGTTAGACTTCTTTTGCTTGACAATTATTTTGTAGTTCTCGTCTTTATACGTCATCCCATCTCCTGTTCTGATCTGATGCTGTCTGCTTGATTCCCTGTTCTGAGAAAATTCGTTTTTTCTCACTTTTATCAAATCAAAAGCTTGAAGTATTCTTACAAATAAAAAGAAGAAAATCATTTTTCAGCTAAAACGACGTTCTTCTATCATCATAGCTGCTGAGGAGGAATGGACCATAAAAAAGAACGTTTCGATATGCACAGAAATATACAAACTTGAACGACTTACTACAAAGTCTTACAAAATATTTAAAACTTAGAGACTAATAACTTGAAATTTTGCAAACTAAAAACTGAATTGAAGAACTGCCAGTTATAAGAAATGAAAAATTACATGAACATAGCTATGTAATTTATAATGGAATCAAAAGCGGTAGTCATCAATAGCGTCTAAAGCCTGCCGAATGGTAGGTAAAGATCATCTACGCCATAATTATTTAGTTTAACAGCTTAATTCTCGTGTTGTAAACAAGCCGGAAACAGAAACTTTATTTACCCAAATTTCCTCCTAAAGTACAAAAAAAA